AGAATCACCAATATGACGTTACATACTTCTGGAGAACACATTTAGGCTGGAGATAGGACAAAATATTTAATATGAATGAAATAGATAATTTACACACGAAGGACCACGCCTGTGATGCTGAACCATGCCATCCGATCGAATTGAACTGAAACAATGTTAACGTGTCCTCTATAGTTAACCTTTTCTTCCTGTCAGTTGTTGAATATAAATCTTTTTACTGGTCACATGCTCGGCTTTAAAGGTCATGTGATTACAGTCCGAAACTGGATAGTATATAAATCAAATAATATCGGATTTGGAGGCATTTTATTAAGGTGGATTAATAACTCTCTAGTTAGGCGTCTACTAAGTGGAGTATTTCAGGGTTCAGTTTTCAGGCCGGTGTTGTTCCTCCTAAAGGTGCCACAAGCATTCGGAGTTTGATCACACCTTAACCAGTAGCAACTTCTGTAATGGAAATGTACCAGACTAGTGAAATCAGAAGTCAAAAGCGAAGAGGTTCGAAGATATAATTGATAGGCTATCGACATGTCGAGATGTGACTGATTTAAGCTGGCTAGCGGTTGTAGGAGATGTGAGGCGCAGCGTACACGCTCGTGATATGGTGTGGATACGTGGCCGAGAGCCGTTAACCAGGTGAGACCATCAAAACTCAACGTCGAAGACTTACAGAGCTACCTATATTGGGGATTTATTTGCCGCTACACTCCCGCATGTAAATGATCTTTCTAGTCTCCTGCCATCATCGGTTTTATTATATACTGACGATATCAAGATATAGAGAGCGATAGGAAGTAAAGTTGGTAGCTTAGAAATTCCAACTGACCTCGATAAATGGTAAAAAATTTGGCACTTGTTGATAGATGATTTAAGTGCATTATGGTGTATAACGGCCACCAAGGTACTGATACACGGAGAACAACACTTAGTTACCTGCTGTTCAGACAGAAAAATTACTTAGGAGTCATAGTTAGCCAAGACTTAAAGTCTACTTCAAGATACCGTGCGATATCCACCAAAGGTTTTAGGACCATATGTTTGATACATAGGGCCATCGTCTATGTCGATTCTAAAGCTTTTTTGACTTTACATTTAGTATTTGTGAGTACTCAACATGAGTACCATATACAAGAGGGTAGCCTGCGCCTAAAAAAGACGATCAGTGGCTGTAAAAGATTCCAAGAACCACAGCTAAACTGATTCCTGGAATAGCTAAGCTTCCATATGATTATCATATAAAAGAACCAGAGGCGACTTGATCACAGTTTTTTAATTACTTAGTGATAAACTTGCGTCTGATATTCCCTCGTGTTTTTTGTCTTCCAAAGCAGAGAATTTACGAGGACACTCCAAAAATTCACAAGCCTAGAACAAAAAACGTGTCAGCCGGCTATCGACTTTCCCATCGAGTCATCAACAAATGAAATTAATTACCTCAACACGTGATTAGAGTTCCACCAGTCCACGTTTTTAAAAGAAATTCAGGGACCACCACAGCCTAGCCTGCTATCCGTAAACTGGGACTGGAGTCCTTTGCTTCAAGTTTAGCGCTACTCCCGGGCGTTTATCTGGTGACGGTATTCTTTTTCTTGTATTTGTTGTTTAATTCCTGTATTTAATATGCTCTTAGGTATTTGTCTAAGTCTCCAGTTTTGAACCATATTGTGGAATAAAGATATGCTCGGGAGAACATAAGGTAGATATTCCTAACGGACTTTAACACTTCAAAGTGTAAAGTAGTCCATCCACGACATGTCGCAGACTACAGTTACAACTTAAGAAACTCCTCTCTAGTAGTGTCCCGAGTCGAAAAACATTTATGAATCCTGATGCCCCACGATTTGAAGTCTTACGCTGACTGTGACAAAAATGCCTTTCGCGCGAACCTTGGACTGGTAACATTGAAGAGCATTTTTGGCCAGTTTAACGGAAGAACTTTCCACATAATCTTCAACAGTTTTATTCGTCCCCATTTAGAGTACGGAAACATAGTATTTCCTCCCTCACTCCAAAAGGATCCTTTTGGAGTGTCCTTATCGATAAGGACACTCTGGAGGGTACCCAACAACGAGCCACAAAATCAGTTCGGGGACTCAAATTCAGACCTTATGAAAAGCACCTCCAATCACTTAAGCTTTACCCATTAGAGTATGGGCGTCTTAGAGGTGACGTTCTGATGGCTTACAGTATCCTTAACACTTCTGGACATCCCCTTAAACACTTACTTAAGCTTAGTCCCAATACAAACCTAAGCGGTAACACCCAGAAATTGGAGATACGACATAGCAAAACAGACTGTCGACACAACTTCTATTTAAGAGTTGTCAAATGCTGGAATTCGCTGCCGACTGAACTAGTCCAAGCGACTTCCCAGGAGTCCTTTAAGAGGAAACTTGACCTATTCTTAAGGACTAAGGATAACATCTTATTATGAGTTACCAATATCTTTTTTCTAATCTGTTATAGTTAATATACCTATGTTCCTACCTGGAGGTATTGGTGATCCCCTGCTACTAGACATGGAAGCCTGTTAAACGGAAGCTTCTATTCCGTCCACATCCCTTTGAAACTTGGCGAAATTACATATAAATGATATTTTCCGCTGTGGTTAAAGTGTAGCTTTTCGCTTAAATACTTTCTCAAAGTTAATGCCTTAATGGTTGCCCAAATGTACACCAACCAGTATATTTTTGCCCACATTTACCATTGTCATTTTACCTCCCTCCATAATGTCATCGACATTTACTTACTGCTGGAAAAAGTTTCTTAGCGCTTGACCTTATTATGAAGAGTAATTCGTGTTTAAGAAGTAATTTGCAAGAATTCTAATCATAATCCTAAAAAGTATCAGCATTATGGTGTTTGTCATACTGTGTTTGTGAGAAGTATGATAATTGTTGATGTCTAGAAAATGTGGAACTTAGCTGTGTATCTGGAGTTTGTTTGATGAGAACGTGTACTAAGAATGTTTCTTTTTTTTCAACTAGAGATTAATTTAACGTTTTAAAACCGGCTTATTTCTTCTCAGCACATCACATACTTATGAATATGTTGAAGTATATGTAGGCATTCGTTTATTTGAGAAAAGTGTTCATATTAAAATCGAAACAATAGCGTTGAAACTAAATGTTCCCATCTTTGTTGGTAGTCCGCATTTTTGTCTAGTAAACTCTGAATCAATAACCACCAACTGTTGTGGTGTGGTTGTGTTTGGATTTTTATTACAATATGAGGTGTGATGTTCGATAAGAAAACGGGAAGGAAAAAGAATAACACTAATTTGTTACTTATATCATCATTCTTTCGTTGCTTTTGCGTTTGATTTGTCTCATCATGAGAGAAACCTGATATAAATTCTAGTAAGTCCTCTTGCTCACACTGACCGATTCGAACTTTGCTGTTAATGCATCTACGTAAAAAGAATCATGAAAATCGGTTCCTAATTCGTTCAATAAAATCAATTTGTTAAACCATGTCTTATACGAAGTTCCAAGAGAAGTAAAATTGGTGGGCGATCCCAGTCTCATAACCTAATCCTGATTATATCTCAATAATGCCTTCAGATTGCCATTCATGAGCTTGGTCACACTCATCTGAAATGTAAATAATTGATTAAAGGAATCAATGATCTTGCATATCTATTCCTTATACTTTCCTGCTAAGGATGTTTCTGGGATTTCCGGTTCCTTCTCACTTGAAGGCAACAAAACTGATGATCCACCCATGTTACTGAACATGCTATTAAAGGATGAATTATTTAAAATGCATATCATTTGTTTAATATTATCAGTCAATTAGATGTTTGCTACAAGCTTTTGAAAAGTAGCGTAGTGAAGACAATTGCACACGTAACTTAGCCGACCCATCCACTAGCCCTTAATGTTAGTGTAGAAGTTGATGGCTGAGGCTTTGTCTTCGTTTAATTTGTGTATATAAGTTTATAAAAGTAATAGGCTTACTTTAGGTGCTTCCATCAGTCTCAACTTTTAGTAGGTAGACTTGCCGTACCTAGCCTAACATTCGGCTACATCCAAATCAACTGAGTCGTATGAATAATCGGGTTTTCATTTCAGTCCCGCTCTGCTAATGATCAGCAGAATTATTGTGCTTACCACAGGCTTCTCACTTTATGGGGGTAAAGTAGTTTCATCCTGCGAATTACTTTGTTAAACGAAGCAACTAAGTGTTTAGTTGGATAGAAATAATCTATGAGCAGTTGATTTTCTGCGTGTAACACCTGATTAGTGCAAGACTGCACATTTAGTAATAGATTGGTTTCCATTCATATTGAGTCGATTTACTATCGATATCAACAATACCAGGACGTATACAGCACGTCTCACTCACTATCCATATGCTTGCCGCAAGCAGTACCTGCTTCTTGACCAAAGCATTTATGGAAACAATTTTTTGTTGTACGTGGAAAAAGTATGGAGCTAGGAGATTAGTTTCCAAATCCTAAAGTTCTAATGTATAAAAAGTATGTAATGACAGAATCATTAATTCACTGTTAGCATAGATTACTGATATGCACTTACATACTATATCACTTACAGAAACTCACACGTACTCAGTAGTTAGTCATGATTAATTTTATTGTCTAAACGCTTTAAGTGGTTGAAGAGGGTCTACAAAATAACTTCTTGCCGTCCTACGATTATTGTATGTTTCACCAAGGCATATAAAGAGGTGGGACTATTTAAGAAGAATGTTTTCATCTGTTGGAGTGTACGAGATACAATTACAGGGATCCCGTTGGTTCCATCCTTACGTTTTATCAGTATTATTCCCTAAGGATTACTCACTGCGTTTTTGTTTATTATCCATGTAAACATTTTCTGATTTGAGACAAGATGATTACCTCATTGATCGAGTCAATAGTCTGACTTAGTTTGAAAATATCTATATATTACAAAAACAGGAATTGTGATTTTAAAAACTGTTCCTCACTAAGATATTTCCTACTTTTAGGTCTGGGTCTTTTATATATCTCAATAAAGATGCCAAAGAGTAAGTCCATTGAAGCACGTCCAAGAAAACGTAAACAAAGTCAAAGAATTGAGGAACTTACCAATTCAGTTTCTGAGCATCCTAAACGCGAAGTAAATCATATATCACACCTGTCAGATGGCTCACGCCACCCAAAACTCAGAAGTCGTGTTATCCATGAGCGGTCATTCCTAACAGATTTCCACATTGTAAACAAAGTTCCAAAGTGGCTCATTTTATCTTTCATATATTTGGGGGTCTTGATTTTTTTGATGATGATTGCCTTTCGTCAAGTAATGGTATGGTATCAGGGAAAACAAGTTATTACTCCACTTCATTTACCTAAAGTAATATCGGATGCTTCATCGCATGAACGATCTCATAGTTTGTTTTGGGGAAGTTATCGTCCCGGAATTTATTTTGGTATGAAACATAGAAGCCCCAAATCTCTTTTGTTTGGTGTTATGTGGACAGTCCAAGATCCAGAAAATTTTGTCTACCGCCACTCATGTGATCAATTTGATGGCGTTCTAAGGTAAGATTTTATTGGTAGTGAGTGTTTATATTTACATGCTTTTGGCTGTATTAATCGTCTATGCTTTTTTTAATTCTACTTACCGGATCTTCATATTTCCTAATCATTTAACCTGTTTATGGTATTTCTATAAAAGATCTAGTTTCGTATTTCTGTGAAACACTAGGAATAAGAGTAGGGAATCTGAAATTACCCTCCAACGTCCAGATATATGTTTATTATGATTTCAGATGAATAGCAGCCCAACTCATTGCATCATGTCAAATGTCTGAGAAAGGTGGAATATTTTTCATCACTTCATCTGGCGCTTCAGAAACACCCAGTCAACAAATTTCGTTGCGAGTATTAGATCGCATAAACCACTTTCGAGAAATTCTAAAGCAATAGAGATATGACGTGTATGTTGGTAATTGCACTATTATGTTGGTTTTTGAGCCTTGGGTAAGACTGATATTTTCGATCGGTTACCTAACCGTACGACTTTATTTCATTAACGCCTCATGACAGGGTAACAAAGTGATTTTATCCCTCCCATTTTTATCCAACCTACTTGCACTTCAGCTAACAGTAAATTGTGTTAATAAAGAATTCGCTAATAATTTTCGGCCCAGTTATATCATAGGATTTTTCGGTTTAGCATAAGGCGATACATTTGTTGTTGTTTGATTTTTCAATTCATGAGTCGCATTTTTGACACTAATGAAATATGCAAAATGAAACCACCATTCATTCGTTATGTTCTTACTGTAGAATTCATCTGCAACATTTTATATACCTGATGAAGCTTACTGCTACTATAGATTAAATCGTTAGTGAAAATATCGTAATACTCCATGCATCTTGTTGTGAATAGAGAATAGATTTTTACATAATTTAAAAGCGAAACCTCATATTCATATAATATGTTGAAAGTGATGAGAAACAAGTGTTTCAGTATCAGAATTTCACCATTAAGCTGATCTGAATTTATTGTGCTGTACTGAATCTATTTCAGGATCACTAGTTGTACGTTCAATTACCAATATGCAGGTTAGTTTGATTGATTATGAACCACACTTATGTTAGGATGGACATTGTTTAGTTGCTCAAGTGCACTTGTAATAAACGAGAACACAAGTGGGGACAACCAAATGTATTTGAATACAAAATTACAGAATATCTTGGTAAAATATGAAAACCATTCATTAAATACTTCATTTGCAAATTTCAATCATTTGTCTTTTACATTCTGTATAATTCTTCTGATTCACAATTCCTAATTCTGTCCCTGTTCTCTTCAAGTCAACCTTCATAGCCTCCTGCTGCCAGGTTTTCCACTTCCGACTGGTGTTACACACTACTTTTGTCGACAAACATAAATGGCACACGCCATACACTTGTAAATTGATGTTGAATCTAAACATTTGACTGTGTAGGTCAACGTCAAATTATGAAGTAAAATATTTTTGAGTCATGAACTTTCTGGTTTTTGTTGTAAGTATAGTTATTCACTCATACTAAACAAAAATATATTTTCTTGTCCGTAAATCCATTGATTTATAGTCGAGTCGCATTTAAGCTTATTAAAAATCTTGTTTAATAGTTAAGGTGCGGTTCATTAGTGATTAATAGACTCCATTTTCAACCAATTGTTTACAGGTTCGAGCTTTCTGCCACTCAGATTTAAATAACTGAGTGTCATCACCAGACCTCACAAAATATGGGGCTCAAAACATAGTTCAAAAAATTATACTTGGCTATTGAAGCACATTAAGTAAAATGTATGAGTCTACTGTTTAATACATTTTCCACAACTAAAATGTTGACACTGCCATCTCTTTTTCCACGTTTTTTGTAGCTACAACTGGTTGGAACACGATGGTCGTACTTTTGGAACACAGCAAATAGTGGATATCCATCATATTATCACGATATCTTTTGTAAAACCGTCTTCTGACTTGATGGGCGGTGACTGGACAGTAAGGATTTCGGCAGTTGCGCGGAATCGTGTGAGTTTTTAATGTAATAAACTATTACAAACTCTTCTCTGCAGATTTTTAGTGTCAACGTCTGATAAGATCCGTTTTCACCGTTTAGTTAGTGGGATTTGCCTAACAGACCTTACAGAGATTAATTAAAAAAGTTCTTTGTACAAAAGGTTGCGTAAATGTATTGGATTCACTGACGTTCTATTCTATTGAACCTTATCTGTTATAAATAAAGTTACTGGATCTTAATTGTCGACACTAAACTTAAGTTATTCAATAAAGTGTTTTTGCTACTTTATTTGTTAGACTTCTATGGAATATCCATTGTCGGTAATTGTCTACTTTTATTATCCTGGTGATAAAAATGACTTCTTCATCGAACCAGTCATTTCGAATAAGAAAATTACTGGATTGCAAGGTTAGTTTATTTATTATTCCTTTTAAAATTATGTGAACCTAAGATCCTCTTAAGTGAGAGTACTTTCCCGGAATTTCACACTGATCGCAAATTTTTAATAATAAAATATTTGGGATACTACAAACATTCTCCATGATACAGATCGTGTTACGTAAGGTGATAAACAACGATCAATAGTACAGGCCATAAACATTTTGTGATATAATTGCCACAACTCGACCATAAACTATTGTTTTGGGACTGGTCTGTGCTACTGTTTAGTGTGACAGTGTAAAGTAGTTTAAATCTGTCAAACATCTCACTTATCTTGACAGTTGTATTAGCTCTTGGTGATTGGTTACCCAAGAAACATCTGTGGAGATGGAAGTACTATGTCGGATTAAACTACCTATGGAGATAATCAGATATTTATTTAGGCCTTGTACTATGACGTCATAGTCTCTGCGTTTCACTGTATGGCTGTAAAGTGTAATCGGCGAGACTCTAATTTAGGGACGAGCCAATCAGAAGCGTCTGAGCAATTTCAATTATTAGCCAATCAGAAGACAGTTAGTATAAAGTGAAAATATATTATAAGAAAGTAATGAATTACAGTGGATATTCTTCTTTTACATGATTTAAAAACTTGTTAAGGTTTGATAAAGGTTCAGAGGTTCTGAATTCATAATGCATACGGTATAGAAACTCGTCCATAAGGTTAGGGGTTAGGGTTGTAGCCTCTCAGTAAACACCTCTGCTCTAAAATCCGCTGTAAACCGATCGTATGTTAGCATCACGTGTTGAACTTGGCTCCGTGACCTTGAAATTGTTCAAACGCTTCTTTTTGGCTCGTCCCTAAATTGGAATCTCGCCACCCTAACCCTAACCCTATGGACGAGTTTCTATACCGTATGCATTATGAATTCAGAACCTCTGAACCTTTATCAAACCTTAACAAGTTTTTAAATCATGTAAAAGAAGAATATCCACTGTAATTCATTACTTTCTTATAATATATTTTCACTTTATACTAACTGTCTTCTGATTGGCTAATAATTGTCAAGGTCACTTAAGATTCGTTCAAAAGTCGTCCCTAAATTAGAGTCTCGCCGTGTAATCACCTAAACAAGTGCCAAGTTTTTAAATATTTGACTTCAGGTGACGTCAAAGCCTCCTTCACTACCTGAAAGATAGACAGACATGTTACTGGCATGCAGTGATTATCTATTTCAACATATTATGCTGGCCATGATCAGATAGATCAAGAGATGATTTTAAGTCGAAGTGTGGTGGTCGGTTTGAGATATTTACGTTGGTATTAGATTAATAACTTGTATTTTTACGATTACTGGCATGATGCTGGTCGACAACAGCGCAAGACGTATGTCGTGGCAAGGTATCACTTCATGAAATCGAACCCAGTGACCTATTACACTCACTAACAATCCTTAAGTGAGTAGACAGTTTGCTACACATCACATTATGTTGCTATCGTTTCTAAAATAAAACCTCTATTATCACACAAAAATATCTGTTCAAAATAATGTGACTAAATCTATATTGTAGTAAATAAGTAAACACTTGTGAGATCTATGGTCATTAGACATTTTACTAGTTTTTACCACATTTCTTGAGATTAATTGTCTTGTCGTTGTAGTAGCGCAGTATCTTAGCGATTAAGACACTCGTCTTTCAACTACCAGGTCGTAGGCTTGAACCTCGCTTCATATACTTCAGCCTAATAAGCCTAACTGTATTCATCGCAAGTACTCAAAAAGGAAAATACTACTACTGTTGGTTGTAAAACCACTGTCTAGTTTAAACATAGTTTTAAATTATGCATAATCAACATATTACTGTTATATAAATACGATGTTTTGAATCTAGTAGGTGTATTCAATCCTTGATTTTTATTATTTTTACAATTTAGGTAGTTCAATGGAGTTGAGTGATTTTCATGTTTTGTTTCATCCTACTCCTCATAAATTACAGGAGAGTTCTCTCGTGGCTTATATACCTAGAGAAGATACAATTAAAGAGACAATGTTATCTGGTTTAGGAGTTAGAAGAGATAAGAATTTCTTGGCACTAACAGGTCTCACAAAGAATCATAATAAAAATCAACCTCCAAATGCATGGTTTTATGAAATAAGTACAAAACCCAATGAAAATAATCAACCAATTCTGGATGTCGAATTCCTTCGATCACAAAGTCCATTTGAAGGTTTTCATGGGAATAGTTTCTCTGAAGAGTTATCTAAACAGTCTATAAGTTTCCATAAACGTTTTGTTGAAAGATTCAGTGTTGATTTAACGAAGTTTTCTAATAGACAGGTTTGTAGTTTTGAGCAAGTTGATCACATCACTTTCTAAATTTATTTTTCTATTTTATGCTTTATTGATCTATTTTAATTAAAATCCATAAAAGTTCTAAGATAAACAAACAAAGGCAGCTTGAAGAAATCGTAGTTTATGCCTAATGTTCAAGAATTACAACCAATCTTTGTATTAATAAATTTACCAAGTCAGATTTGAAATTTTTTTCGCTGGAATTTGTGATTATTTTCACTGTAAAAACTAACTAGAAGTGATTTGAAAGGATGTCTAGAATTGATAGTCATAACGTTTAAGTATTCAGTAACCTGATTATGTTTATATCTACACATCTTGATACTATATCGTTTATATCCGTTGAACAATATGGATTATGTTTCCAAACGAAAAGTGTCGTGTTTCAGGGTACTGAAATTGTAGTGAACGAGAACACCAGTGGGGACAACCGAATGTATTTGAATACAAAATTACAGAACGTCTTAGTAAAATCTGAGATCCATACAGTAAATATTTCATTTTTAAAATGTCAATCAGTCGTCTCAGACTTTATTGTACCTTCGTTTTCACACTAATTCTCTGCTCTCGTTCTCTTTTCTTCGATCTTCTTAACCTGCCGCCATGCATTTCACTTTCGATTTATGATACATATTACTTATATCTGTCGATATCAGTAGCACCACAAAATTATTAATCGGAAACATGGAATACGAAACTTATAGCGGTTAGTTGTAAAAATGCAGTATCGTGATTTCTGTATGAATATCAGAAGGGTCTCTCAAGTGTAGACGGGTTCCTACTTAATTGTTGATTATTTCACTCTCGGTGTAATAATTATTTTTCAATTGTTTTTACAGGAGAAAGTGACCTTCCTTGTGACTTTTCAGTGGGATACTTAGCAACTCAGAACATTGAAAGCATGCTAAATCCTCTCGGGAGTTTATGTTTGTCTCATAATTCCCTCATTACAGCTGTAGAAACGATCGGGATTAAGCTAGTGGCATATTAATCCTATGAAAGAAATCTTATTCGTAAAGTGAATAGAACAAGCTAATTAAGTTAGTGCACTAAATTATTTACTTCATATTGTTCAATAAATGGGCTAGTGTAAGCACTGGTTTTGGCGTCTGCACACTTACTGTGAATGATAAACTCATTGATTAGCCAATACTTCTGTGGCTTTGTCTTAACGTCGTTCATTATGTGCTACATAAAATTGTTATTTTCCTAACTCTTATCATGAGATTTATTATAATCATTCCTTACTGCAATATATATATATATATATATATATATATATATATATATATATATATATATATATCGGGATAATCGTTTTGTGTTTCTACCTCTGAATCTGATTAGGTCAACTTATCTAAAATTTCAGTCAGCAATCTACTGGGTGGTATTGGTTTCTTTTACGGCACATCGTTAGTTCGTTCGGCTAATATTGGACCGGAACCAGTATCTAATTGGGCGTCTAGTTTATTTACTGCCACTCCATCTCGTCCCAACTTTCCGCGTGGATTTTTATGGGATGAAGGATTTCATGGTTTGATATTGGCCCGATGGGATCCAAATCTTGCAATGGAAACAGTCGGTTCATGGCTCGATCTTATGAATGCTAATGGTTGGATTCCACGTGAACAGATTTTAGGTTGGGAGGCCAGGTCAAAGGTTCCATCCGAATTTGTTGTTCAGTCCTCTGATGTTGCCAATCCACCATCCTTGATTTTAACTGTTGAAGTATGTTGTCAAGTTTTTAAACTTTTTAGTAGATTCATGAACATATTTCCATTTGCATCACGGCATATTTTATTACGCCTAATTTGTATTACTATTAGTTGAAGCGAATATTCAGTTGTGTTATAGTGTAACAAAGTTTCGTTATGAAGCGTTAAATTCACTGTGGTTATAGATGATATGTAATTATTAAGTGAATGTTGTATGATGGATTGTTCAAGCTCTTAATTTTATATGATGTCATTTCTTACCAATGGTTATACAAGAGTGCAATGATCATAGTTCATGTGAGAACTTAGAGTTCTACTCTGTTATATTCATTTCTAATGCTACAGCTATCTGAAAAGTACTCGGTAGGAAGTCCTATAACAAACACGGTTGTAAGCTCACTTAATCACTTGAAATATAGTTTTTCCCACCATAATTGTGCTTATTAGATATATTCCTTTGGAAACGTCTTTTTTCACGGAGTCTTCAGTGAGTGTTTTGTGGTGCCAGATGATCTGACTCCAGTTTGGATGAACGTATGAATATGCTATGAACTCCGTATATTACCTAGGCTTACCCCGTTTGTATGACAGCGGTAATAAGAAACCAAATACAAGTGGACTTGGAAGAATTCAGACATTCGTTTATCCAGACAGAGATTCAGAGTAAGAGGTAGCAAAACGAAGAGGAAAGAGCGAAGCGAAAGGGATCGGATAAGGCATGTGAGCCAACTCGGTTTAACCAAGTGTGAATCGATATTTATAGTCGAACAAAAGTAAATTACAGACACATCATGAATAGTGTAGGTAATTGACACATACGCTCATATATATTATCTTTATCTACATACGCTAATATAAAAACAGTCAAGGTTAATAAACGAATAATTGATGAGGTTAAAATGTGACTCAAGAAGAATAAATAGATTGGTCTGTCTGGAAGCTAGAATAACCCATGTGGGCTTGAAATGCGCTGTGCTTGAAGAGATTCCGAGTTTACCTAACCTGAGAACGGAACAAAGACTGTGACACAATGGCAGATAAGCACCTGAGCTACAAATCTCCACCATCTCAGATAAGCTAGCTATTCCGGTGTGTCCCAGCCTCGCTAACTAGAGAGAGAAGTTCAAGTCCGGAAAAGGGAAATATTATTCCACAAGCAGCCAGAAGCACGAGCAACAACAACAAGCACAAATCAAGCGTAAATATACAGCACAAAAAATGTCTTTGGGGAGCGTTACGAAATAACACACTAAAAGACACAAAGAACCAATAGCATTTAAGATCCTTCCAAGTGGGAAATACAACACGAAGGTAAAAATGGGCGCTTTTAGCGCGGAAGCAAGAAATTTGAATTTTAACAATAGAGTTACAAAACTAAAGTATTTATCAAGTGTGTTCTGGGGATCGAACATCCCCAACAAAATGATACTAGACACTACAAGTGTACTGATATGGGACCTAAGGTAGCGAACTCCACATAGGCAACTAATCTCGTATTTGGGCAATTGTTTGAATGAACAGGAAAAATAGTTCTTTACGCTTAGGTAGAATCCATTTTCTGACAAAGCTTACTGGTACAGTGGTTGGTAATGTAGTCAACATTCATCAGGTAAATCTCACCCCTTGCTTAGCTATTCGTAATTTGAAAGTATTTCATAATTGTCTTACGCCTTCAGTATACCAGTTCCAATCTATTGATCATAATAATGATGTCGTCTGACGAGCAATTTAAATTTTTACTCAGTCTTGTTTGAGGAGGTAGGTGGAGTTTAAATAGTCGGAACATGTTTTATAGCTCTCATCCTGTAATTTCGGTTAACGGGTGTATGTTTTATAGTCTTTATTGTTTAGTATAACATTCAAAAAGTGACAAGTTGAGGTAGTTTATGTTGAATATGCTTCTAGTCAGTTGGTCAAAACTTCCTAAACAATTTTCTGAGTATTTTATTTATTCCTTTTTGTAATTTTGTGTATTTCTCATTGGCTTGTTATCAGTCATGAGCATAATTATGATAAGTCGTGTGGATTGAACGCTATATTGGTTTCCTAAGCTATCTGGTAATTCGCAGACTAGAACTACACAGCGACTTGAACACCAGAGAGAAGACACAAGTATGAGAGAAAATGCTTTATCCCAAGGTTCATTCTTGTACAGAAAATCAAGGGTATTTATAGATGTTGGCGTCTGTTAAATCAACATCATATTTCAGCCAATCCGTTAAAGTCATATTATGCTACAGACCAATAATAGCACACCACGCTGGAATTCTCGAACGTTCCCTCGTACATTGATTGGCTAGGATCCTTCGGCTCCTTTTGGGCCTCTGGAGGCTCCGTTGAAGTTTTACGGAAACCAACTCAACAAATTACTAACATTTTTACGGCAATAATTCTTAGTATCTTGATAACCGTTGCATGTAATATTTATTATTGGTATGTTTCTAGTTTCTTTGTTATTGAAATTCTTTCAACATTATATATTATTTTGTACTATTCATGCAGGCTTTGTTAGATCGTTTGCCTCGACTAACTGTTGCTGAAGCTAATGAATTTCGTCGTTGGTCTTTGTTAATTCTTCCAAGGCTACATGTTTGGTATCAATGGTTCAATACTACTCAGATTGGTCCTGTCCCTCTCTCATATCGCTGGCGCGGTCGCAATCCAAATGAAATTCATCAGCTGAACCCTCTTACATTAAGTTCTGGTAAATGCTTGAGAGTATCACTTTAATCCTTTTTTAGATAATGGTTAATATTTCTATAGGAATTTTGCACATGGCCATTATATGTTATTTTTATTTCACTCTAATTCATTAAACATAGTAATCATTGTGACACGCTTAAGGGTACATTAACACTTTGTAAACGGACTTCCGATGTCTAATGGAATTACTGTTGCATGTAATTCATATAAACATCATGGAAAACATGCAGTTTCATTTATATTATTAAGGAAATCACTTTAGAATATATACGTCTCTTAAAATATTTTATTCAACAGAGTAATTATTTTTAACTAGTTCATTTTCAAAATGGTACAATAATATATATAACTATGTGTTTGTTAAAGTTTTATTAGTTGTTACTTGAATTTCGACTGGATATTCATCTCTGCCTACCTAGTGTACTTGTACTGAGTTTATAGATAAAAAATGGATACAATTTTTATGGCTTAATACGAAATAATTAGGATACTACCAACTTTATGTTTCTTATAATAGTCTAGATCAAATATATTCATTTTTTGCAAACACTTGTAGTATGCCCAGACTTGACAATATTTCTTATCATTTAATAGCATTAGTGAGATTTATATATACCAATTACAAGTACTCAACTTTGAACCTCATTGTTTGTATGAGGTGTTTATTAACTATCACGCGAATGCTTAAACCGTATAAAGTATGTTTAAAAATTGAGAACTATTGGTTGGAAATGCAGTTATCTAGCCATTGAACCCACTGCGCTGCATGTGTATTACTCAAAACATTTTGCGTGATAATGTATCCATTTTCACCAACTGTTATAAAAGTTTTATGACTGTTTTGTTCTGTTATCACTTTGCTCACTACAATATATATATATATATATATATATATATATATATATATATATATTGTTTTCTGTCTCAAGGATTAGATGATTTCCCTCGTGCCTCTCATCCAACTGATGATGAACGTCACATTGATTTACGTTGTTGGATGACTTTGTTTGCTCGTGTAATGGCAAGATTGGCTTCTGTTGTTACACAATTTATGCAGGCAGATCAAAATGCAAATGGTCGATCAAAGCTAGAAGAGACTCGTTCATTGATTGCTGAATATACTCGTTGGGCTGATCTATTATCAGATGAGAATGAACTGGATAGACTTCATTGGTCAGAAAAACAGGGCCGCTATGCTGATTACGGTCTGCACACAGACTTTGTTAGACTAGAGATGCCTGATATACCTAAGGGATCACATGTTTCTGATGAGGTAGTGATTTCATGCGTTGATATTTCCTTTTCATTTATATTTAAAATATTCTGTGCTTATTTTAAGGTACTTTTTATTGTTTTCATAATTCTTATCATAATTTTTGGATATCTTGAAAGGAGATATGGATTATATATTTTTTGGGCTTGCTTGCAAGAATTTGATTTACTATTTAAATAGCGATTGGAATATTATTCTGCACTGTGTAATTAAAAGTTTGGCCCAAACAATTTAATTACTGAACCACTAGATGGAATCCAACATTATCTACCGAAGTTTTAACTTCGAACGATAAGTGTAGCTCTTATCCTAGTACAAAAAACATGTTCAAAGCTAATTGAACTATTTTGGTTTGGGTGGTTAAGGGATTCTATTATTTTTCTCAATTCACTAATGTTTAATTTTATATGGTGATATTATAGTTAGTATTACTGTGAGGTACGGAGACTCACTTATGATAGATCAATGAGATCTGGTGCTGTAATATCGTGAGCTCATATTATTATTATATGATTACTTCAACAGGAAAGGAGTCACTCAATGAAAATAACTATTGTAATTAAAGCATTCGATATTATATATTTTGTAATTATTTCTTTAATTTCACATTGACTTTTTACCATAGCAGATGAGATTGGTACGAGTAACTGTGAAAACCCCATCACTGCAGTTAGTGGACACCTCGTTTGGATATGTAAATTTATTCCCATTTCTTTTGAAAGTTCTTTCTCCTACATCACCACGACTTCCTCGTTTGTTAGCTGACCTGAGTAATAAGGAATTGCTGTGGTCTGAGTTCGGCTTGCGTTCAATCAATCTTAAGTCTCCTTTTTATCATACACACAATACCAAAGATGACCCACCCTACTGGCGAGGTGCTATATGGATAAATATAAATTATTTGGCCGTACAGTCACTACGTTATTATTCTCACCATTCACGTACACCTGTACCTGTCGCTGCAGAAGCTAAACGGTTGGATGAACAACTGACGCAAAATTTAGCACGTACCGTATTAGGTGGACTTGAACGAACAGGTCATTTATGGGAACAGTATAACGATCAGACTGGAAATGGTCAACGTGGTCATCCGTTTTCAGGATGGACAAGTTTAATTAGTTTAATAATTAGTGATAGTTCTTAACTTGTTTGTACATTGTTTTTATCATTTATATGCCGTGACTTAATGTTGTATATCCTTTTCTTTTTTACGTATTTTGTCTTTATGTTGTTATATTTTTGATCTGATGAATAAATTTTGGTGGAATAATAGGAAGTATCTGAATGGATACTAAGTGATTCTTCAAGTAGAATAATTATTTTGGTCTTGGAGTCTGTAATAAGGCTTGAAACGTACGGTGTTAATAAACCAAAAATTCATGAGAAGACCGTTATGAAACGGCTTCAAGCAATTATCTTTTGGCCTCTGGATTTATTCTTCCAGGTCATCAGGAGCACTTCTACTCGTAAAAAGTGATAGTAACCCCTAAGGAGAGAGGGAATGTCTAATTAAAAGACACAGGCGGATTTTTTGATATTTCAACCCAGAGAACAGATAATGGTTACTGTTTGTTCTGATAATGTTCAGACCACTGCACGTATCAACATTAATTATAAGAAGAGACTTACATAACCCAGCGGCCCTCAACCTCGACACGACTATGGATAGAAATAAGGTTATATAACCATCAGCCATTGTCGTTGTTATGATATCCAAACACCTGTAAGCACTAAAATGATATCTGTCATCAACTTGAGTCAAAAGGTTAGGAAGGACCATTAAATTGCTGAAGTTCTTATCAAATTCTTAACTGCTTTAAAATTCATCCTGTTATACACGGAAAAAGACAGATTGACGACAACTCAAACATAGGCTAATAAAAACATTATGAAATGATCATGATCAATGGTGGACAATGAAAGCAAAATAGACGGGAAAGGCAATAGGCAGCACTAGATATCTGTCCCGACACGTCACAGATAGATGCATTAGAAAGCCGGTTGTCAGCTGATGTATTTCTGGAAAAAATCGGAAATATTATTTATTAGGTTTAGGAGATTAAACAAATGGACAGCATAGTGGGCAACAATTCAGCTGACCTTCAGTAACTTACCTCTTCCCAACAGCCTGATTAAGAAATCGCTACAATTCTCCCAACTCTTTTAAGGATGGATATGGTCATATCTATCTTGAAGCAAGGGAAATCAGCAGGACCTGATAGATTAACTTGAAGGTTATTTAGTCATGGTGGTCCAGTATTAGCTGCTAGAGTTTAGGAGCTTGGGGTAGTCTCGTCTGACCGGCCATGTTCACTAACTGTCAGTTTAGAAATGACAAATCTTTATGCAAAGGAATTACTTTGTTTTATATAGTCCCAACATGTCAGCCTCAATTATCGCTCTATCATTATTTAGATCTCGAAAATAACAAACTAGGAAAACCTAGATTGAATTCAAACTGGAATCCGGATGTATCAATCAAATATTCATACTTCCAGGTCCCAGCACACCCAAGTCACGTTCACCTGTGGTTATGTATCCTAACTTAAGGTTCTTTACTAAGAACCTTTTGGTTAAATCAGCGCTTAGGGCGAACTGTAATGTGGATTGACAATCTCAGTTTGTCTCCTTCAAGATTGTATATACTATTACTCTTCGTATCTTATTTCGTTATAAATTACCTCTCGCCCCAGAAATCATAAATTTCAGAGGTCGGTATTTTATCAGGTTCACTTAATGACAGTCCTATTTGTGGAAGATACACTATCCAATCTTTTGAACTTGAGTGACAGTAGAATCATGTTTAGCATTTGTTTCCATCCAAAAGCAGAATGCTGCTTCAGTACTGGTCTAGGTCAGTCCTTACACTAATGATAGAGTGAAGCGGCTGGGCGCACGCCAGTTCGATTCAGTCTCATTAACCATCGTGTTTTGGTGGCTGACACGGATTCTTATATCTCTCTTGGTTTCTGCCAGTGTGCTCACTCGTGCCGTAGAAAAGATACCTGTCTTCCAATCAAGTTATGAGTACATTATACATCAACGCGGTCTATATCACTGTATGGTTGTGAAACATGACCTACGAAAGTAGACGATACTCTTGGGTTACTGGTATTGGACTGTAGATATCTTTAAAGTATTACTCAAATGTGACAAGTTCACTAAGTAAGCTATGATGATATTTGACATGAAGTAATTATTCATCGATTAAGGTGACTTGGACATGTATTACTTATGCCCAATCAACACATCCCTTGATGCGCATTGCTGGGTAATGTGGGAGTAGGTAGGGGTAAGAATTCATGATTATCTGACTTAAATGTGTTGGAAAATACAAACTAGTTTGTTGAGACCCACAAGACAGTCCTAGTTATTGGTCGGGCGTGGGTGATGACTCAGTCCGTTGCATTAGTTCAAATACATTCTCTCTATATAATTTCTTTCTAGACTATATTCTTCACTGTCTGATTTATGCGACTATCATCATTTATACTACTAGCTCTACTACCATGCCGTTCATTCTAATGATTCCATCTCGTGTTCATTCGGTATAGCGTTTTAAGCTAACAGATGTTTTCAGTATAGGGTTGTGGATATTGTTAAGTTTTGATTGAGATCATGAATGGATCGATTTTAGACCACCATTAAAAACCTGGGAGCACTGGATGGACGTTTCATCCTAGTATGAGATTCCTAAGCAGTGCGCATCCACACCGTTGAATACCGGTTCAGTAGTCTGGAAGTTAAGCGTTCGTGCGCGAGACCGAAGGCCCTGCGTTCGTGTCCTGGGTGCACACTGCTGATAGGTCCTATACTAGGACGGTACGGCTGTCCAGTGCTTCTAGGTTTTCAATGGTGGTCTAACATTAATCTATTCATGATCTCAATCATAACAGACATTTGTGGTAAGCCGTATGTTAACAAGGACTGATTGACTTTGAAATGTAAAACTAATGAGTAGTTTGACAGAAAATGATATTGTTTAATGCCTTCTAATGTATGTTTACTGTGGTCGTTTAGTTTACTGATAAAAAGATAGGGTGTAGTGCGTCAAACGTGCGATTCGTTAGCCAAATGAGGCCTTAAAGTTAACATCGAGATAACTGCTGATCATGACAATACATTAGACTATAGCAAGTCACGTGCAATTGAGTTTGTTCACATTTAATTTGGTTAAGCCCTTTTGTTAACTGATTTAACGGACACAGTCATTCGTACAGTAACAACTTATCTATACTGTTGTATCTTTACCATTGTTGCACTTGTATAAATATGTGTGCTTGAGCATTGCTTACTGCATACTCATATATTCATCCTGCCAGCCTTACTATCAGTCAATTTGATTCGATGATTCATTCATTTCACTATGTACATTTTAATCCTGTTCATTCGATTCGCTTGCTTTTCGGCACTACTCTTTCATGCTTGCTTAGCGTACCTGTAATTTTGGTGATCTGTGCGTGGTGTAATAATAAACTTAATCAACACTTTTTATTCGCTTTCTGATTAATACGTCGTTGGGGGGTGATCCAGTAACGGTTGTCAGGACGAACTGTTTGGAAGTTTAAGGATTATTTTGAATACCGACCACCATAAGATAACGAAAATGCAAATTAAGTCTGAAACTGCTTTAACAAATCTGCTCGAGCTATACAAGATGACTACAATGATCTTTTGCTGGTGTCGGGAAAGTTGTTGAAATGGATGAAGTTGTTACATCTAGATAAAAGTATAACGAAAGAAGAGAAAGGTAAGTTTTGTGAGTGCATCGTTTATGTTTCTAACTGCACTTACAAAACTATGTATAGATTCCCAAGCAAGGATGCTATGCGGTCATATGGATGAACACCTTTCTTATATGTTTCTCAACTTCAAGCCAAAAGAACTAATAGACAAACTAAGAAATTTGATTGATCATTCTTAACGCTCTCACTTGTATTATAAACTACCCATTCAATTATTTGCATACCAGTGAGTTCGTGCATTCCCATAAAAAAATGAAGTTTCAAATAAATTAATGTAATGACAACAATCCTCACACTAGAAATATAGTTTTACGCAGATATGAAATAATAGTATTCATTCAGAAATTATGAGATATTTATAGACTAAGACTTAAGCATGGTGATTTGTAGGAATCCAAGTAACTGTTTGACCCTTGACATATTCGGTTAATAGTATAATTTACAGGGGTTTTATATATAGATTCACTTGTAATTTATAGTTCTTGTTACTCTATTTAAACGTCATTGGATTGGGATCTATGAAACAATTAAGCTTAGTTAGGTAATAAATAAGTTCCTAGTGTATGATGCAATGTAGTTATCCAAGATGTTTTGGTTAATCAGAAACATATTCATTTAGAAAAATTACTATCTATATTATCTCATTCTGACTGTCTGATGAACCATCACGTAGGACATATTAGATGAACACCACTTTAACTCTCTACTACACTGCATTCATCGGTAAAACCGGTATATCTTGAAGCAGCTTAAATTTTATTGTTATATCCGTCTAAGATAATTGTTTCAAACTGTTGGGGTGGTCCAGAAAACCCGCAAAAGACAAGAAAGGGTCAGGAAAACACTAAGAAGCATTTTATCCAATCAGCGTTAGAGTTTAGCCAGAAACATCTAGAAAGTGGAAAGTCACATGTAGTGCTTCTGGTTGGCTGATTACTGTACTGCTACTATATTTAGTAGCATTCCAGAATTTTCGGGAAACCAAAGGACATCTAAAATACTACAAAAACCCTATATTTTCTGTACTAAAACGGAACTTTGGAGTAAAGTGCTGTCGCGTATTTTATGCCTTTCCTCTCATGTTCAGGTCGCTGTGTAGTTCTAGCTTGGGGGTTACGAGAATAGCTCAGGAACAGAATATAGCGTTCAGTTGGCAAGACTTATCACAAACCATTAGTGCTTCAGAAAGATTAATTACTACATTTAATTTGATAGGATTTTCATGTTTCTTACACGAATGCATCCTGTGAACAGGCCACCAGTAAGAAAGTTAACAAGCATCTTTTTCGAATGCCGTCTATGTACTTTCAATGCTTCTGTGCTCGCTTGTTTCAATACTGATAAGAAATTTACACGCGATAACTAAAACAAAAAGGATAATGACAGAAAAGTTGCGTCAAATGAATTTGTAAGCCTTTCAGCCATTCATTGTGATTTTGTATGCTTACAAATACATAAATATTTTATGTAATGTATGAGAAACACGAGTTATGATGTAAGATTGGTTTGACTTATT